GGACTGAAGCCACTGAGTTTCCCGATGGAGCTCGAGCAGCCTCGACTGGTGTCTACCGTAATGCTATTTTTCATGATTCTTTTCGTGTACTCTGTGATGTCGCCTATTACGAGTTTTGTGATGGCGTTTGCTTTCACTGCATTTGCGGTGGTCTACAAGATCCAGTATGCGTCCGTCTATGACCCTTCCCATGATACTGGTGGTCAACTATGGGCGAGAGCCATCCGGTTCATAATAGCCTGTGTGGTGATAGCTGAGTTTACAGTGATGACGGTGATGGCTATCAAGGAGGGTGCTGTGGTGTCACCACTGATGCTTCCACTATTCATTGGGACGATCCTGTTTTGGATGTATCTCGAGCAGCGTCACTTCTCAGCAGCTTCGTTCCTCTCCGTCAAGACCTGCGCCCTGATCGATCAGGAGCGTCTTAATAAAGGCTTCAACGCTGAAGTTTGGGAAGGGGCGTACAACCCTATTGCCATGCGCCATAGATTCGCCGAGCCTGAGGTTCCTCTTGGGCTTCGGGAGCTTCCACCATGTGCCGACGATGGTGCTGATTCTGACGATACTTCGAGAGGCGAACCAGTAGCTGGAAAGACCGGGAGCTCTACTGAGCCGACTACGGCCGCTCTGAATGCTGGTGCTTGAAAAATATAAGTATGATCATTTCAACTCAAGTGTGTGTGTGCTGGTCTACTACTGCTATTATATTAATCTCATTCGCAGTCTCATAGTCGTATTGATTTCCAATGGAAGTAATCGTTGAGTTTGTCGCAACTGGGAATCGATCCCACGGTCTTCTCTCATATGACGATGTTGACTGGAATGAATTCGTTACCTGTTGCCAGAACCTACAATCTATCAACCACAATTCACCCAAAGGAAGCTCTCATTCTGAAAATTTGCCTTTTCACGACTATCGCGAAAACGACGTCCATCAGCTAGACGAACTTACACGATGGATTTCACCTACCCAGCATAGCGCATTTAGTTACGTCTGTTGAAGACGCACTCTCCTCGGTTCATATTCGCTCAAGAATGAAAGCTGGGCCATATAGAATTGCGGGAATGAAGGATACAGAGAATTGGATGAAAGAACCTCAAGTGAGGCGACAATAGAGACCAAGAAGACATGTTGTACTCCACAGGTCTTCTCAACCTAGAGGTCATTCTTAGTTCCCTTGACTGTGAGTGATATATTATTTAGAACATGATGGTTTAGTGGTTAATATTCTGGTCTTTCGATCAAGTGATCCAGGTTCGATTCTCGGCGATACTAAAATCAATCTCAGAGCCAATTTCTCAAGCTTTCTTATGTCGAGCAGCTCCCCGTAAGAGTAAGTTGGAAAATTGATTCTGGCGGTTAGGTCCTCTACTGTGGTCCAAAATAGAGTTGCAGAGTCTGCAATGCAGACCCAATCATATGAGTGCGGAAATGCATCTTCGCGCACTGCAAAGATTCCCAAACGAGTGTTAATCATATCTTGGCGTATGGTAATGTTCACATTCAACCGAGCTCTCGATTTCCTTTGTTGATTTAAGATTCTCACGCGGCTCTCTATTGAGTTACGAATCAGTGTTAAATTGACAACACGAGCGGAGGGAATGTAATTACCAGTAAAAATTAGGAAAAACACTCTATGGCCTTCCTCATCAAAGCACAGCAAAAGGAGCGGTATAAACAGCAAATAATCTTATAATAACGATAATTCTCAAGTAAAGAATTATAACAACCGTTCACGCGTTCTTTCTCGCGACACCAACACTGGGGACCAGAGCAGTGACCGATGTGGGAGTCGCGAACGGCATTGCCTGCTGGACAATAGGGCGCTTGAAACCGGGGACGTGAAGAATGTCGGCGTAGACCAGTTGGCCGTAGACGAGGAATAGGAAGCCACCAAGTTGCAACCATGACCACGCTGTCCACTGCTCAGCAAAGGATGCGGCAGGGGTAACTAGATAGTAAGTGAAAAGGCCAATGAACCACACAATAGCGGGCTGCATGGCATTGAACATGGTAACATGGATAGCACTAAGGATCTTGGTGACAATGACAGCGGCACAATTGCCGAAGAAAATGAACACGACGTAGACCACTAAGAAAGTTTGCATCTTTTTAGAGTGCTCGAACAGCATCAACGAGTCCAAAGTGTTCTCTGAGGAACCAGCGTCATCACCAGGAATGGCGTAGAGTATTGGTAAAACGATGCAGACCATGTAAATGGTACCCCATACACCTTCCATGCGGACAACACAATAGGGGTCGATGGTCATATCTTTCATGAACTTCTCCTCGGTAACAACTTGCAATGCTTGGATAAACTG